GAGCCGTGGAGCCGCCCGTCCTGCCCGTGCCGCTCCTGCTCCGGGGCCTTGGGCCGCCGGTCGCTCGCGCGGTTTTCGATCTCGTCGGCGTCGTAATCCCCGCCCAGATCGGAGTCTGCGTCGTTCTGGCCAAACTTGACTTTGATGTTGCCATTCCCCACAGCCAGGACGCTTTTCCTCTTGGACTTTTGGCAGGTTTCAGAAATCATCATGTCTACCTTGATTAACATGCCCTGGCCTTCACCTTCTGCTGCCACAACCGGCCACTTTAAGGCAGCGTTCTGGTGGATCGAGACAACAGCTTCATCCAATGATACAGCAGAAAGGGAGAAGTCCTTGGAGTCATAAATGTCCAGCGGAGTAACAGAGCTGTCACTGAACTGAATCCAGGTGCTTACTACAGCTTCCTGAAAGGAGAGGGATATGGTTAAAGACAGGGCCTTAAATAAGACAGCTCAGCCCATTGCAGCTCATCAATCTCTCAGCTCTGAGCAGCAGCTGGAGGACATGGAACACAATGGCTCTGCACTGCATTTAAAGCACACCAAGCTTCAACAGATCAGGCAGAGGATGGTCACTGTTTTCACTAAAGGTTCTGGTCTTACCCATCCTGAAAATATTTTGCAAAAGAACACATAAAATAATTGATATGAGATGTCCATAATAACAAAGTACCCATTAACAAGCTACAATTTACATGATTTATAAAAAAAGTCATTCCTGTCATACAAAAGCTGAAAGAGACAAGCCAGAAAAATTACTAGAGGCATCTGACAGAACACTTTTTTTCCCCGTGTCCCCTATGCACGGGTGTCACAGGGAGCTGTCAAATTAAGCAAGGCATAAATATCTTAGCAGGAATAAGGAGCTACCATAGCATCTTGGAAATGGTTGGAGCAGAAGAATCACCTGAAAGAGAAAGACTCACAGAACAATTGCCATTTTGCTGGAGAAAGGGTTAAGTAAAACACACATTATCTTTAAGATCATTAAAAAGGCCACTGCATTTCATGGAGAGGAGGATGGGGATTCTGGTATGATCTCTACGATAAAAATACAAATAGCCTGGATTTAATTGGACTGTCTTTGTTCTCTGCAGGTAGCCCTGTTAGAAGTCATCATTAGAAGCAAACACAAAGCTAGAGGTCAGCTCTTTGCTGTTTGAAATCCCATCCAGATGATACAGAGATTTACTTCTCCATGTCTCAGTAGCTTTATTTGCAGGAGATTTCTGTATTTTGTCAGTGGCTCTGGGCTTGCCTGTTTAGCCAGCAGACCTGCAGGCGGCCTGATGGGGTGCAACCTCACACAAAGCTCAAGTCCTTTTCTTCCCAGACTTCAGCTGCAGATGGCCCTAATAACTTTACACTTGGGTACCTCAGAACAACTGGACTGAAAATCACCATCGGGGGAAAAACATTGCCACCCTGTTAAGGGCCAGTCATGATACAAATTTACACTCTAATATGCTCTTCAATTGGCTACAATTTGTTACGCTGTGGTTAGAAACAAAGGGAATTGCTACCCTTCTAGTTAAATATAAAGCTTTTCAATGAAAACAGCAAGGGGCATTTAGCTGTGCAGAAGGTTGGACTATAATGAATATTTGATTTCCAAAGTGCTATCAGCAAGTTCTTGAGGGGCTGAAAGGAGAAAAATAAGTTGTGGCACAACAGGAAAGCTGGCAAAGTTCTTGGTGATCCAAATGCACTTCAAACGGCTGAAACGGAGCCAGGGTGGCTCCAAAGCTGGGAAGGGTGAACTGTGCAAGGAAATGAAACCGGCTGATCTTTCATTACAGAAACAACCCTGAAATGACTCAACAGACAGAAACATAAAGCTGCAGGGCACAGCTTAAATTTATATTACAGAAATCTATAGTAGAGCAAACCCAGCCATGGGAAAGTAAAGGATTTTTTTTTTTAATGGATATGTGTAGAGAGAAAAAGATACAGCTCCTCTAGCAATGCAACACCCTGCTCCTTCCTCCTCCCTGAAACAAGAGGACAGCCTCATGTACCACTGGGGAGGAACACATATGAGGAGCCAAATGCTTTTCCTCTCTTCCTCAAGATATCCACATCCCTGTTTGGTTTTCTTATCTTGATGCCTTTCTGCTTTAACTGCCCTCAGGCACTGTTCAGGTTCAGAGGTAATCAGCATGGAAAAATTTGGCTGAAATGGCTAGAATTTGACAAAGCTGTAAGCAACTTTGAACCAACTTTTACTCTTCTCCACTATTCTGCATTCCTCATTTTATGAGGCAGAGATAGAGGAAAAATGAAATGGCAGTCAGCTGAAATTTGCAGGCACACATGTGATGTGCTATAGATAACAGAGGTGTGCAATAGCTTAGCCATTATTTTCAAGCAGCATTGAAGCTTTTCATTTCCAGGAGACCCTTTTTTATAGCAAACCACCAATTTTTTTCACAACACAACATTGTCATGCTTATAGTATAGACAACATTAATTAAAACGGAAAGAAAACAAATGAGAGAAAGAAGGTGAGAATTTAAAATCCTCCCAAAGTATATTGTATCAGCCCAAATATTCTATTTGGGAAGAGATCATCTCCTCTCATTCACATCATTAAAGGAAAGATGAAGGCAGGTGAAGGAAGTGAACTTCCCAAATGATTATAAATTCTGAAAAGCTAAAAAGAAAAATAGAAATAGAAATATATAGTACTGTGCCCTTCAAAGAGAGGTTTCTGCAAATTCTATGCACTGCATTGATAAATCCCCTCCAAATCTCTGACAAGGTCCTTCAATTACTATCAGCAGATGAAGATGGATTGGAGCCTTCTTACCTGCAAAGTTGCTGCCCCTAGTCTGATGCCCTCAACACCGAGGTGCCAAATGCTCGTGTTCATTAATAATCAGGCATAAACAAATAGTTTGTGGGATTGCTGGGCTCTCAAGTCTTTCTTCCCTCCACGTTTCCTCTCTCTTTCACACATGCGCAAGCGCACACACACACACACACACACTCAGTTGAGCACCCAGAACAAATGAACCACAACTACACATTAGTGCCAATGTCTGTTAGAGAACAAAATGATTTGTATGGTGACCCTGATATGTGAAGTGAGTCAGATAATATACGCTAGATCATGTTAATGACAGCAAAATCCAATCCAGAGGAGATGAAGAGACTGCCTCCCACAACCACTGCTGGTTATCAGATACCATGCTTTCCTTGAGCACATACAAAACTTTCCTTATCAAGACACATTTGGTCTACACTTTCCCTTGCTGTTCTCTTCCATCATTCCAGGTGTAACTTCAGCAAGTTGGCCAGTTCTTGATCTGCTGCAGTTCCACCATCTCTTTTGGCCTTAAATTACATTGCTCCTTGTCAGTCCAAAGGTGCCACTTAATACATCTTTTTGGATAAAACTGCATTTTACTTTTTGTTAGTAGTTTTACCTCCTTTGTAATCCACTAGGTATGTTTAGGTGGGTAAAACAAAGAGGAAATTACCAGGGTAGGGAAGTAACATGGCACTAATGGAAACCATCAGTCCCTGAGGATCTCTGCGTTGCCTGACCTGGCATATTTCAAACCCTGCTGCATGAGTCACCACAAACACAATGGTTTGCTGGCCATGTCTGTTCCACCTAGATAACACAAGGAGGCTCACACTCCAAAGGCAAACTGATGGCAGGACACAGAGCTGGTTTGGAAGCTCAGCAGAAAGCCTATCATACAGAGATCTAAGAGTCCCTCTGTGCTGGGACTCACGTGAGTTACCTGGGAAGATCTGGGAGCCACAGTGATGATTACTGTGCCCTCTGAAGCTTCATACAGCATTTGAAAGTCTGCTTATAATAGGATGTTCCACTGAGCCCATCTGTACACCACAGTCAGTGGTTACAACTGTCCTTCAATACCTCCACAAAAAAAGCTGGGGTCAGCTTGATACCAAGATGCTATCTTGTATTCTTCAAGCAAAAAATAGGGGAGTAAAGTGTGCAGGACCGATTGCATTTTAGAGACTTCTGCTGCTCAGAAACACAGATGGGAGGACTGATCAGTGTATTTGATTTTATTCCATGCTCAGAATAAAGAGGCCTTTTAATGGTCTTTGCTCACTAAAGCACAAATAAAAGTATTTGTGACTAAGCCCTCGATTGCTGGAGCCAGCTGCAATGGTCCTGCAGTGAGGCAGGACACCAAAGGAAGGAAATGGCTGGCTGGATGGCTCTGCAGAAAACAAATACTTCCCTCCCTCAAATAAAGGCAAGGGAATACTGTTCTCAGCAGCTTCTATCAGACCAGCTCTGATTGTTCTGTCTGGGGGTTTGAAGGCTTGAAATGGGTTTCCATAGACATTTTATCACATGAAGTAACAAAGTACTACATGTGCATTTATTTTTAAGCCCATGGCTTGTGTAGTAAAAATTTGGCTTGATGGTTATGATGTGGAAATGAAAGGCAGCCAAGACTCAGATCTTAATTCAAACCATGCATTCCCCTACTGTGTATTTCTTTCTCTCATTTTTGTCCAATCTGCTAATGTGACATTCCTTTCCAGTGGGAATTTGCTTGTATTTGCAAGGGAAGAATTCAGATTCTAATGTAACAATACATCCTTTCTCCCTTTCCCATGCTGCTTAACTCCTTTGTCATATTTCTGAGCCAGCACAGTGCTCTGGCAGTTTAAAGAAGAAAAATAAATGCAATTTAAGTGTAATTTATACTGCCAGAATGGGGTAAAGTATCCACACCATAAAAACACTCCTAATATCAGTTACTTAGCTCTACGATGCCTGAACTCTCAGAACTAGTTTGCAAAACTAAAACCAGGACAAAATCTGAACCAGGATAGTATTGTGTCAGCCCAAAAGGCAGGGACATGCAGGTCACTCCAGCTTGTCACCCTCACCCAGGTGGTGCTGGGCACCCCCACCTATCAGAGGGAGAGTGGACATCTTGGAGGGCTTTACTCGAGGTTATGGATGGCCTCTCATGATTGGGTCTTGTCACGGATGTCAACAGGAGCTACACACGTGAAAGAGAAGAACTTGGTCTCTAGAAATCACTGACACTGCTCTTTTTCCCTATGAAGATGTCTGTGTTTTCCAGTGACACTGAGAGAGACATTACACACAGAGCTGTTTATTAAAGGCTTTCTTTCTTCTTTCCTTCATTCCAGTTTCTTAGCCCACATGCAATACCCTACAGTGATGAAAAAGCCACAATATGACTGAGTTTCCCTGCAGAGCCAGCTGAAATTTAAGAGTCCTTGAAGCTCAAGCAGATCAGAAAACACTTAAACACTGTAGGTTTTCCTTTATTTACATTTTGGAGAAGCTTTTAGGATGGCAGTGTTGATTTTAACAATTATCAGGAAGCCAAAAGGAACAGCTTTCCTACCTGAGCAGATGGCCACTAAAAACAGACTGCTCACAGCTAGAGTTCCCAAATTTTCTGAAGATTTTTCAACTTCTATATTTAAAAGCTGGTCAACCTGCATTTATTTTTAGGCACTAAATGATTGATCCACTCTTCAGTGCCAGTGAGCTCCTCACTGTAAAAAAATGGAAGTATGGGCTCAGCATCCCTCAAGGTCACCTCATCACCTCAGGTAATTAGTTACTCAACTACAGATAAAGATATCTAACTTTAGGCATCCAAGATTTAAAAAAAAAAAAAAGAATTAGCTTATCTTCTTTAGACTGCTGAGTATTTGGAGGAACTGCCAGCTTTTCAGGACCTGTGTTTTGGCTGGCTGCTTTGTGCTCCTTATGCAGCCATGGTGTGGTCATTATAATCAAGGAACTAATCTAGTCATTATATCAACTGAAAGAAAATTACAGCCAAAATACTAAATTGATTCTTATGATATTGAAAAATCTGTAAGAGCACAATCTGTATGATGCTTTATGCCTTCCATTGTACTCTGCAGACGTACTGCTTAATCTGCTAGGGACAATATTGTGCCTGCCAGAGCACCAATTATCCAAGGACATTTGCTAATCTATGTTGCAGCCTGGCTGTTGAAGGTGCTAAAGTGGAGCCAAGGAAAACATTTGACTAAGAACATATTGACTATTTTTTTCCATATAACAATGCTGAGCCATACACAATCATTTCTGAAAAGAATAAAACCTTCAGTTATCTTAACTGTTATTTTGTTTTTCAGTTGCGTCAGCAAGGTTTGCACGAGTTACCTGGGCCTTGTTATAAACTGGAGAGCAAAGGACACACTAAATTAATGAAGTCTTTGCAACATTCAAGTATATGCTTAGTCCTGGGCTGTCCCCTTGAAAAGAAAACCTCACTTTCAAAAAGGCTTGATTTTCAGAAAACACTCAGCTCTTGCCTTCTCAAATTCCAGCTCAGTAAGGAACTCAGATGATATACTCCAAATCATGAGTCACTTCTTGCAAACTTTAGCCAGAAGCATTCCTACATTGGCATTAATTCTTCTAAGGGCAAGTGACTTGTTATATCCTTCATTCAAACCCCTGATGAACGGGAAAGCTGGGACACCATGGGCCACTCCCACAGTAAGACTATTGCCTTCAATGTATTTTCTAGTGTGAAATCTATTCCTGTCTTATTTTTTTGGTGGTGCAAATGCAAAGTCCCTCAGATTTCAACAGCCCTTCCTTGGGCAAGCCCTGTCTATAGGCTGAGTGAGATCTAGGCCTGAGAACAAACGAGTGGCTTATAGTAAGGCAGGAAGTGAACTGCACAGGAGGTGGCATTAGCTCAGGCCTCTGGGAAGAAGGCACTGCCAAAGTGCCCAGAAACCAGGGACAGTGCTCAGGAGCCACAGGACCCAGCACCAGCAGGAGCAGGACTGCAAACACTCACCGTGCCTGGGCAGGAACTGACCCTCACAAGTTGCCCAGAGGGAGGAGGGATGCTCCCAGCAGAGCCCTCAGTGGGAAGCAGGCAGGACACTTCCTACCCCTGGTGAAGAGGAGGTGGTGGGAAGACAAGCAGAGGCAATGGGGTGGGCAGGCTCCAGACTGGAGGAGCCGGGAGGAGAGGCAGAGGCTGAGGTGGGGTTCCACAAGAACATGCTGCTCTATGATTGCAGGAAACTGGGACAGAAGGCACCATGCCCTGGACTGGGAAAAACTGGCTAACTTGGGACTACTGCTAAGCAACCAGATTTCCTTGGGTGTTCTAGATCCTGCTGTAGAGAAGACTTTCCACTACCTGTTAACAGAGTGCAGGTCCTGTGGTCATTTCCCCCCCCCCAGATGCAGTCTAGAGGTGAAATAACAGATTTTAAACTCCTTTTACTGAGAAAAAGGTGCCTGCTTTTCTCACTCCTCCCGTTTTACAGTCGGTATCTTCAGTGAGCAGGATGCAGTAGTGGTGTCTGTAGGCTCTGGGGAGGAGAGCAGGGACTGCAGCCCCCCAGGCTGCCCGGCAGGACCAGGAGCAGAAGGTGCTGCTCAGGATGAGAGCCTGATGTGCCCAGTCACTCCTGCTCAGAAATGTGACTCTGAGGAAACTGCAATTGTGTCACAAAAGAACATCAGCTTAAACAAAGGCTTTCACCAAAATCGTTCCATAACACAGATGCTGGGAAAAATAATTTCAAAACAAACCACCTTTACACATTTTTCCTCTTTTGCATTATTTCATGACTTGTTAACTGCAGTGATATGTCATGAGACTTTGTATCTTACTGCTGTGCCATAATACCATAGGGGATGGCATGCTGTGCACTACTGAAGTGCCCTGTCACAATATGCCATAACCTGATATTGATAATTATCTTTGCATATTCAGGGCAGATCATCTATAAATCTGAGGCACCTTTCCAGATTTGCAAGCTCTTTTATCTGCACTGAAACCATGACTCTTCCAATGATGCTGCAGGACAAACGGTGCCCTGTCCTACATAAGAGCATTGTGTGAGCCATGTTTTAGCTTTTGCTTTTAGTCTTTGTCCAAAGACAGTGTGTCAGACATGGCTTCTAAGCCCTGGAGAAGGGTATAAATGGGTTAATTACATAAGATTCTAATGTTTACAGGATGCAGTAAATGGAACAGATGGGCACCATGTCCTTCTAGCTTGGACATTTTCCTGTCACTAAGTTATAAAACAATCTCAATTATTTTTATGTTCCAGAAAATTAGGTAGCAATAATCATGAAAATGGGCTATAAAACTTGACTTGAGATCTCTCCCTATCTATGTGAGATGAAATACAGTTTCTGTGAGAGGAGTAGCTGTAGACAGACTTAATTGCATGGTCCCCAGTCCCACTCTTCAAATCAGTGACTGAAAGAGCAATGAACATAGAGCTTGTTCTGCTGCTACTGACCCTTGTTTTTAATCTGTTCCAGAGCAACTGTTTGCCTTGATCTGGGGGTGTTCTCCAATCTTATTTTCCATGTGGGTTGTGACCTGAAACATGATGCTTGAATGAGTCCCTTTACAGAGATGGGAATTTGCTGGCTTTAAATAGAATCAGCACATGAACTGAATGACGAACCCCCCAAAATCCATCTAAAAAATAAAAGGAGAGAGGAGCCTGGCAGTCTGCCGTGACTCTAGGAGGGAAAAGAAATGTATTTGGCTATCTTCTGCCTCTATTTTATAGCTCTTCAAAACATGAAATTGCTGTGACAAACAGAGCTCTGTGCTCTCTGGCATGGAAAACAAGGGCATGCCCAGAGAGCAAACAAGGATCACTGTCCAAAGACTGCCTGTGTTCAGAAAATAACAGATGTTGCATCATTAAAGGGAAGGCTATTAAAAATGTAAATAATATAAACTTCATTGTAGTCAGAAATTTTACTGCAGTTAAGTATGTATTTGAAGGGAAGAAATGAGAAGACAATTCCAGAGCATCTCTAGAGGAAGGTAATTGACACCTATACTTTGAAGTCTAACATCTAAACTTGTTATGAATTATCATCTCTCCTTCACACTGATAACCCACTGCCCCATCCCCAAAGGCAACAACAGGAAATATGGGGGGTACACTACCTGCTTGGGAGTATGAAGCAACTCTTGGGCAATGGTTGTAGCCACAATAGCCCGACTACTTGCTGCACTTGGCTGAAGAAAGAGTGAAAGCCCAGCCACCAGCTGGACTCCAAGGTCTGTTATGGTCACTTTTTCATCTAGTACAGTCACTGTCTTCTCTGCCAGGATGGAGTCAGACAGAGGAGACAAAACCTTTGGAGAAACACAAAAGAATCAACTTAGGAAATGGCTGATCAATTAAAATAACCTTTCTTACGGTCATCAACCCTTCTTGTCTCCAGAGCTTCATGCACAGAGGTGGAATGGCAGAGGCCACTGAAGAGGCAGTCTGATTGCATGAGCAGGGTCAGAAACCCATCCAGCTGAGAACACTGCACCCAACCCTGAGAGCTGTACCATCTCACTCGTGCATCATTTCACCCAGAGAGCTGGCTTAGAGCTCCCCCTCTCATTCTGTGTCCCAGTATGGATGAGCTCAGACTTGGTTCCCAACCATTTCAAAGGGAGGTCAGCAACATCTAGGACCTGTCATTCGCTTCTTTGCTCAAACATTCTCATTTTTCTACATTGCCTGTTTCTGATGGAACATCAGGGTAGTAGGATATCCTTCTGTTTTTACAAAACTCAGGGTCATACTGCCGTCTTCAGGGAACTGAGGATAGCTAATTCATGCACATAGTGTCTTCTTCACCTTCCTCATCTCATATCTACAGCCTAGGTTAGCTGTATTCACTCTGTGCCTTGGCTTTACTGGGGCAGAACTGGGATATGGTGATAGTCACTTGTGCCTTTCAGGGCTATTAACCAGGTTGTATTTTTTTTTCCTGAATTAATGTTTAGTTAAATCAAAAGAAACATGTCACAATCCAAAGACCCTTGTCTCAAAAAGCCCAAATGGTGCTCATCAGCTGATGGGGTAACCTGCATCAGTTATCTAACTTCTCATTGAGCCTGGACATGCTGCCTCTCCTAAACACCTCTGAAGGCTCTATGGCTTCCAGGTCCTGGCCATGCTGCATGCCTCACACCACCTCTAGCCTGGATCATTGTTGCTGGGTTAGTGCTGTGTGTGACACTCTAGAAGGTCATCATGTTTCAAGAGAGCAGAACACTATGCTGGGTTTATGCCCCCACACAGTCTCTCTAAGGGAAGAGTAGAATGTGGTAGCTCAGAGCACAGTACCTGCATCGTTGTCATTCCTACTTCCCGTCCAATCAAAATCCTGCCTTCCTGCAGCTTGGCAATGTGAGGATCCTCCAGCTTCATAAAATCCATCACCAGGTCTGTAATGTCAAACTGCCAGTCTGAGCCCAGCAGGTAGCTCAGCTGACCCCAGGGGCTAGAATCCTCAGCTACAAACTGGGTGAGGACTCGCACCATGGCATGCTGGTACTGCAGGGTACAACCTCTTCCCTTCCGCTCGTCTTCATCCTCGTCATCACTGTCTCTGGTGGGTCTTGTTTCATAAGAAAATGAAGCATAAAGAAATATTTTCAATAACATTGATGAAAACTAACATCAGAATGCTCATGGAGAGTTCCCCCTCAAATAACAGCCCTCATGGGTTTTTTTTTGGCCATTGCTGATTCAGGGCTACCTAGCATGAGGAAGGACCATACAAATGTACTGCTGCTTCACCTAGCTGGTAAGTCCAAACAACAACAATTCTGTAAATGAACCTCACCAGAGCACCACACTGTACCCTGCTGCACAGGACAGACACAGGCACAGAAGCAAAACTCCCTTAAATTTTAAAAGCCTAGTTATATCTGCAGACATCCAGTGCCAAGCTGAGGATTCCAGCACTGCTGTTCCTCAGGGAAGAATGCTGCATTTTGGGTGCAGGTGCTGCAGCTGTTCTTGCTGAGAGTTAAAATCAACTCCATTCATTTTACAAACACCCAAGAAATTTAGCAACTCAAACCCACCTTTTGTTGGAAACAACTGGGACTCTCCAGCCTTTTATTTGGCTGAGTTCTGTGTCCGAAATGTCGATCTGAAGAGGCAGGCGTGGAACCCAGACTGTGACTTGCAGAGGAGCTCGCAGGTACTGGTACGTGAAGTTCACAAGTGCATTCACCTTGCCTTTCATTTCTTTGCCATTGACAAAAACATAGTCACACCTGTCAGAAACCTAAGGCAGAGGAACAAAGAGAGAAAGAGGAAAAGTTAATCACTGTGACAAAAGGAGGCCAAAGTGTAACCCTGGCATCTCAAAACCAAACCCAAACAAAACAGGTTCCCTTCTCTTTGTGCATGTTGATGATGGCCTTTTACAACGGGAGCAGCTGAGCACAAAAATCCTTCAGTGGCTCAGGAGGCATAATTATCCTGGAGATGCCTGAAGACTGGATACATTTATGTATCCATATCAAGGCTGATGACATTTATGAAGCTGGCAGTTGATGTTCTGTTTGTTATGCAGTGAGCCACCAGCCAACCACAGTGCTGTGGAATTTCTAACGAGCAAGGCTCCTTCCTGGCTTGGTCAGGAGGAACCCAATAAACCAAACCAGGTCTCAACAGAGACAAGCAGCAAATCAAATCTCTGCCCTGACAAGTACCAGACAAAGTTGGCTCTGGAGTGGATTTCATCCACTGAAGAGTACCAGAAGTCTACTCATTTCCTCTGCATTAAACACTATCTGCTTATAAATGTTTACATTTTGATTAAAGCTGTAAAGCATTTCTAAACACTGCAGTAGATTTATCATTAACATGTAAATGCTGTCCTGAAATATAAGCAAGCATTATCACAGTCATGTAAGAGTTATATCAGTAATCACTTCTCTAATCAATGTTGTAATTTACAGACCATTGAGTTTCCTCATTTATTACATTACTGAGTACTAGTGATAAAATCACTCCTGAATATATAAATCATTAGGAGGGTTGCAGATAGTATGAAGTGACTCCGTGTGATAAAGTCATTGTCATATCTATTCCTAAAGGTGTTATAAATGTCTGGGGAAATCCTGTGGCACATTAATCATACATTAAGTGGCTAGCAATGGGAGCTGTTACATTATGAAATGAGCTGGTATGTCTGCACAAATTAACAGTACACCCAGCAGATCTTTTCAACTCCTGCTCCTGCTCCCATCCCACCAGAATTCTACTTCATCACCCATAATGAGTATTGTTACTGGTGGTAAAGCATCTTCCCACCTGAACAGAGAGTATCATTTGCTCCTTTTTATCCCCACTCCCAGTATAATGTTACTGAAATGAAGATTATCAGCTAGAAATGCTTATGTCTCCAGGCTAATCAAACAGATGGATGTCCTCTGTGACCACAGATACAGGAACTAAACTGTCCCCAGTTGGACAGGCACATCCTCTGTGTCAGGTTTAGGCACTGCTCACCTTCTTGTAAAATATTTGACGGAGAGATTGTAACAGGAAACTTCAGAGAACATAACACAAAGCTTTCTGTGACTCGTTCCCTAGGAGGGTTATGCTGTACCTGGGCTCTGCTGAGGGAAACAGTACTATGTACTACAATGCCTGACCCATCTGAGTGTAAGGCTTCTCCCTCAGACCACCAAAGCCAGGTTTAAAAGTCTCAAGGTGGCAGAAACTTCTTCATTTTGTCACTCTGAATGGCATGCCCTGTTTTTACATGCATTAACTTGAATGCCAATGCAGAAAGGAGTTCAGTTCACACGAGGCTGTTTCAGAACAACTACCTGATCTAATCTAAAAGTCTTATGCAGCAAAGGTGCATCACATGTAATACCATGCAGAAATTCAGAAGTCTTTCCTAGATGGTCTGCTCATTCTCTCTACAGTGCCATTGCATCAGCTTCATCCTGGGACAGGACACATCATGAAAATGGTCCTCACAAAAACAACTCCAACTGCACGGGCAAGCAAGGGCTACATGTCACGAGTGACAACCTTGGCTTCCTAATCATGGAGGCTTCTCTGCCCAGAGCAGTACATAGCTGCTACAACCTGTTGGGGGAATTCAGCTCCTGTATTTGAGCTGATGTCTAACCAAGCACCTTGTCTTGCTGTTGTCTCAGTTGCATGGTAACAGGAATGGCCAGTGGGGTGACTTCTCTCTCTCAATGCTTGGCAGTGTTACTGCCCCTCTCCCTGAAGTTGCCCACATCTCTCCACCAGAGACAGAGACCCTGTGAACTATCTTAGACCCCATACTAGTTCTTAGATGGCTGAAGTTAAAGGGACTTCACATCTAAATAATATGGCACATGTGAATGTCACCTATGGCACAACATCCTCAATGAAGTTCAGAGTTCAAGGAAGTCTTGGCTGACACACTCTCATTTCTGTTTTCCTCTGTAACCCTAGGAAAGTCAATTCAACTCTTTCTATCCACTTTCCCTCACTGGTGTAAACAGCACAACCCAGAGAGCCTTGGTCAGAGAACTACACTGCTCTTGGAGCACAGAACAACTTCTGGAACCAATGAGAAGCAGTGAGTGTGCCTGGGGGAGGGGACCTTATGTCTGGAACATTTGACAAAGCAGCTTCAGATATGGCTCTTCTTCCCTTAGCCCTCTCTTCCTTAGAGTAGAAGCTCTGGGGAGGCTTGTCACTAGGATCTAGTTTAGTCCTGCTGGGAGCAGCAGCATTGCCATCCTGCAGCTGGTTCCATCCCATCCATCTCTGTGGAGCTCATCCCAAGGATGAATGAACCTTCTGCATTAGTTGCTCAGGTAACTTATTTATGTGCACAGTAAACCACATGCACATGCTGATAAAAACTTCCTGATAACACAGCTTTGGACTGACCAGCTCTGGCCTAGATGTATGATTTAATATCATCTAAAGCCCAGTGTTGTCAGGAACAGAACAAATGTGACTGTCAGGGAAAAACCACAGTAACAATAGTAGCAAAATTGCTATTTCTGAATGGTTCTGGGCTGAGATCCAATCTCCATCTGTATTTGTAAAGCTGCTATATGCCTTCGTGGGTATGCGACAAACAAATGGCTAAATAAATACATCCAGCATCCTAAGGAGGTGGCTGCTGTAGCTCCCGTGCAGCTTTGAAATTCCTGCAGGTTAATACTTATTACTGGACGTGCATCAGCAATAGTGGCAAGTCTTTATGAGCTGTACTGAGAGAAACATCACTCTTTTCACCGAGTACAAGCACTGCTAATGTCCTTACATATGCTCTTTCTTCTGCTCCTGTGTTTCTCACAAAGCAGTAGCACACTGAGTACAGGAGGAACAAAGCCTAGGTTGTTGTATTGTATTACTGTAGGCATTTTAACTGTTGTGCTTTCAGATATCCATTATTGAAGCAACACTGATTGTTTTTGACAAAGAAAGGCAACAGAGTTCCCAACTACTGCTGCACTGAGGATGAAAGGGAGAAAGTATCTCCGTGTCTCATCTAACTCACAGTGTGTGTATGCTGGACATATGTACAGGATTAAGGATACTCTATGTCAAGAAACATCCAATTGAAGCTATTCCCTCATCTAAAGCTTCTGTAGGCAATACATCTCAGCTCAGCTTAGCTAGAGCAGGCTAGCAGAAGGAGAGCAAGAGGGTTTGCTTCCCCTGCCCTTGTCTCACAGTGTCACTTAAAAACTAAAAGCAAAGGATTTCTCAGCCTCAGAGAACAAATCCAGATGTACTGATTCTACTACAATTTGCAGCAGCAAGCCACATCTAAGGTCTGATTTGCTAGGCAGATGTCCCTCACAAAAAAAAGGGTACAGGTTATATAGCAACAGACCACAGATTAGATTAATTCCAATGCAAATAACATCACAAGTCAACTCAGTTTTGGAGTTCTGGCTTTGGACCATGCTGGGACTCAAATTCTTTTTAATTAAAAAGGTATATTTGTTGAAGCATTTTTGATAGATAAAAGTATCTCTTTGCTTTCCTCCAGGGTTTTGCAATGCTTCTGGAAGGTCATTGAACAGTACAATGATTGGCTCTCATCTGTGAGCCCTGGCCACAGCAGTCTAAGGAATTTTCTAAGAGATGCTGGAGACTTTGTGAATAGTGATCTCTTTCTCTTCTCCTGTAGTACTTATTGTGCTTTTACTATGAAAACATCTTCCCTCTGGAAGTGCTTTTTATCTTTGGCATCAGAAGAAGTGAGAGATGATGAAGGGAAAGCCTGCTTAGCCACCACCTTTAAATGATTGTTTTTTTCTATTCTTTGTGGCAGATCAGCGAGAAGTTTTGCATTTTAAAGAGTTTTCTGATGCTATTTCAGCAGTTTCTTTCATTATTAAGCTGCATTCAGCTACCTTCCCCCTTTTTTTCCGTTTTTCTAAATTCTGTCTCTAGATTAAAACTAAAATAACGAAGCTAGACAGCAAAAGACATGAAGGACAGGCAGGGGGGATGAGGAGGCAAGTCTCTGGGGAGACCTTACAGCAGCCTTCCAGTATGTAAAGGGGGCCTACAAGAAAGATGGGGAGGGACTTTTCACAAGGGCATGTAGTGATCAGACAGGAGGTAATGTCTTTAAGCTGAAAGAGGATCTATAACCACTTCTGAATCGCTACCTATGGCACAATGTGAATGTACCTTTGCAGCTGGTAATGAACAGAATAGCTGCAGTGAGTATGAAGGAGATTCCTAGCACCATCACCAGTCCAATTCAGAACCTCTGGGTCTTCCTTTACTTACTCTTTTCAGAGTAAAATCTTGATCCCACCATGACCTCTTTATTGCAGAACTGCAAGGCGTGAGCAGGAGCTGCTTGAGGTCACCACAAAGGCTGTGAGAACGTACTGCCTTGGACTCTGCAGCCAGAACTGGGCTGGTGACACTTCTGTAAGAACATCGGTTTTGCTGGGTTAAATTCTGCTACAGATTCCTGAGAAATCTTCATTCAATTACTGGTGGAGGCCGGTAGTTTACCAAAGACAAGTTTCATGTCAAATATAAGCTAAGATTGTCTTACAAAAGATGGTGAACTCAAACACTTTCTGTTCTGTCTCATATCTGTTGTACACAGGAGAGGAAAGAACAACTGTAAGACCTAAACTGAAGCAAGGGGCACTCGCTCTGTGAGCCTAGTCTAGTCTAAACCTGTTCTCCTAGTGGTTTTTCGCCTCTGAAGATATCAGACCAGTCTCTGAAGGACAAAAAGAGAAATTTTTTATTATGGAAATCCTGTCATGTTTAAGA